TTTAATTTAGGTTTTTGTCAAACGTTTAATTATTATTACATTATTTTTTTTCAGAATCGTAAATTTATTATGAGTAATATGCACATATTATAATTATTCTATGATACAGTAATTGATTTCTGTAAATTTTTTTAATTATAAATTAAAACAATTATATTTTTGTCAACTTAAAAGTTGACATGTCGAGAATATCTGATAGACTAAATCGTAAACCGAACAATCCGTAAAAAAAAATTGTACCACCTAGGGTAAATGCACCAATTATTGACCGATTAAGGTTTTCTTTTTCTGTACTAAGCTATAAAAAATCTATTAACCTACTAAAAACAATTTGTAATGGATTTTATTAAAGTTAAATACTTAATTAATAATAATTAATAACTATTTATAATAAAAATTAACAAAATTATATTAATTTTGTTATTTGAATCTTGAAATACTAAAATCACCAATTATTGACCGAAGAAACCCAATAAATGACCGACCGTTATCCAATTAATTGACCGCTCAAATAATTATAAATAATTTTGTAAACTACATGTATGTAATTAAAGTTATGCAGTACTTTTGAAGCATTAACGACATCTTTAACAAAACTAAACACACAATATAATTTTAAATCGTACTTTTTAATAAAATAATATAAATAGCAATAATTTACATAATAAGTCACATTTCTTTAGGTCAAAAATAATCACAAATTCATTTTGATGACGATAATTCGTCTGATTCACTTGAAATTTTTTTATTACTTCTTCTTTTTTTCAATTAAAGCTTTTTCACTAGCTTGTAACTCTTTTTTATTTTTTTAATTGCTTAGCAATTTTTTCTTCTAATAATTCGTTCTTTGATATAACCGTTCACTAAAAAAATTAGAACAAAATAAAATTTAATAATCAATAAAGATTTTAAGTATTATTTTAATTATAAATACCTATACATTTTATAATGATTATTTTTATATTTACAAAATATTGAATGACTAAAGTACTTTAAACACTTGATAGATTTAATTTTGAAGTTAAGAAGTTAGTATTATAAATATACGGTCATTAATTGGATTGTGATAAAATCAGAGGGTCTAATAAATGACCGAATGAATTTTTTACTGGGTAAAAGGCTTCTGACGGATCCAATAGTTGACCGGTTTTAAAATAATATTAAAACTTATAATTTATCTTTATTTTTTCAAAAAAGTTGGAATCTGATCTTTAATTAACATAATAAAACTAAAATATTTTATATTATGCCGATAAATATCACTAAATTAATGATAAAATGCACTCACTCTCCAATTGTACGCTAGTTATTTTTGACCGCTTTATGGCTGGTTGCGTTGTAAACAAACTCAGAATATTTTTTTAAAGCTATAATCACTACGCAATTAATTGCGTAATTTTTTATTATGATGATTAAATGCCATATTTTTTTATTTTAATACTTTAAGAAAAAAAAACCCTTGTAAAATATTAATTAATTAACTTTTTTATACATCGGTCAACTAATTGGTGACCGGTCAACAACTGGTGCATTTACCCCAATTATATAGTCTTTTTGACTAATTTTTTTATATTTTTATTAATTAATATTTGACCCAAAATTTTGAATTGTAACTTGAATATTCAAAACTTTAATAAATAAACCAGTTTCTCGATTCTTAAAAATAATTTTTTAAAATATAATAATAATAATAATAATAATAATAATAATAATAATGATAATAAATATTGATTTGAGGGTAATAAATTAAAGAGCGTAATAAATAACGAAATATAATTTCTACGTTACAAATGTGTCACACGTGTAAAAAAATGGGCAGCACATTGAATATATGAATTTTCTCAGCAATTCAGTCAGTCACACTAGCGATCGTTATTGGAAAAGTGAGCAAAAAGTAAAGTTACATAGAAAAATAAAAAAAAAAACCCGAACAAAATTGCTGACTTAAGAAATTGCGACTCAAAGTACTCCTGCACTAAAGAAAATAATAAATCTGTAATAAAAATTTTTGACCTTACTCACATGTTACCTAACATATAGCGTTGCAACATTATAAATATTTTTCTCGAGTGCTTTGATGGAAAAAAAAGTAACTTTAAGTGCTAAAATAAAAATGAGTGTTTGTAATGCTAAAAATAACTAAGTGTTGAAAAGAAAAAAAGTAAATAGACGATAAGAGTTGAAATAAAAAATAACAAAATAAGAGAAAGAGAGAGAGTGAATGGTAGACGTAATAGTGAGCTGAATGAAGCCCTGCCAAATTAGAATTCCTTGCGTGCCTCTGGCCGAGCTATAAAAGCTCTATGAAAATGACATTCACACTCTGAATTACTATTGCAAGTCGAGAATTTTTACATTTACTCCGATATCATTGCTGTTTTATTTTAGTTTATTTTATTTTATTTCTTACTTTATACACTTAATTTTAGTAATATGCGCTTAATTTAAAAGTAACTAGTTGATTAAAGAGAAATATTTTTTATCCAAGAAGAAAATTATTTTTTTCTAGCAACTTTATTGCAGTCACTATGTGACTGCCGTGACTTTTGAACTATAAATAATTAAATTTTGCCTTATTAAATAATGACTTTTGTTAAATTGCACTGTATTTTCTTAACAATTGACGTTTTTAAAGATATAAGCTCATCCCGATGTTACACTCATCAAGAGCTTTCATTTGAGTACCAACATGCATTTTTGATATATTTTTCATATATACATATATATAATAAATATAAATATATGAAAAATTGATGTGGGTACTCAAATGAAAGGTCTCGATGAATGTAATGTCAGAGTGAGCTTATATCTTTAAAAATGTCAATAGTTTACAAGATACGAGGTTATTTCTTACATAAAATAATTACTTTTGTTTAATTACACTGTACTTTCTTAACAATTAACGTTTTTAAAAATATAAGCTCATCCCGATGTTACACTCATCAAAAGCTTTCATTTGAGTACCCACATGCATTTTGATATATTTTTCATATATACATATATATAAATATATGAAAAATTGATGTGGGTACTCAAATGAAAGGTCTCGATGAGTGTAATGTCAGGGTGAACTTATATCTTTAAAAATATCAATAGTTCACGAGATACAAGGTTATTTCTTAATTATGTATCTAGAGACAGAGCATTTTCGAAGGCAGCCACAACTGCAGGTCAAGACTTTTCCAACGATCGTATTCAACCCATTTTAAGATATAAATACACTGGCCACAAAATTTTGCTTATTCTCTTAATAATATAGACAAAAACGCATGTTTAAAAAGTTTGATGTTTGCTTTTTATTAATTAAGTTCCAAATACTTCAAGAGCCAATAATTCTTAAATAACCCATCATTATATCAAAATTTTCAATCATTTTTGCTTATTAAATTCTCTACAAATAATCTTTCTATAAATTTTTCATAAAAATGCATATTTACCAAGTTACAGCCATTTGAAGCGTCTTATATACTTTCCAAAAATCTCTTCATCTCTTCCCAAAAACTTTGAAAGCTTATAACTCTTAAACGGTTCATTATATCAATAAATTTTCAATCAGACCTTTTTTCTTGCTTATTAAATTTTCTATAAATCATCTCTCTTTTCATTTTCTATAAAAGCCTATACCTATTAACAAAGTTACAGCTATTTAAAATATTATATATACTTTCCAAAAGTTACATCATGAATTTTTTGATTTAAAATTTTAAATAAAATTTTTTATATACTTCTAACACTCTAATCTATAAATTCAAAAAATATATAAAAATTAAAAATCAATCTTTATTAATACATTAATGAGAATTTTTATTATCAAATTATAATAAATAATTTTTGACAGTAACAAATGACAATAAATGAAGTATTTTCAAAAATAGACTGAATTGACTTTACAATTTGATTAATTAATTATTAAAATGAAATAAGTTGCGAAAGATGCAATGCTTAATTGATTCGTTTTCGGATGAATATCTATTAAAAATATTCTAATGAAAAATGACATTTACATAAAAATCAAGCTATTAATTTCTCACCTTTCTATTTTTAATGTCCTGGGTTCGAATCCCAGTCCGAGCTATCTAATAATTTTTTCTCGCATATTCTATACACTCACATTAAGAAGTTCCTCTCCATAATCCTTTCTCAATCCTTCCCTATCAATTATCCTGTTACGTGAATGTTCGAACGCTTCACGTAATAATTATCCGTAACTCCTATTCTTTCCCGCTTCACAGCATTATTTATATTTGTTAGAAAATGTGGAACTTATATGACCAAGAATCTTAAGTCAAGTTAATTTTTTTATCAGTGTATATTCTCTTTTCTCCGCCTGAGTAAAGATAAATTTAAAAAAAGTTTTTTACTGTTTGCATAACACGAAAGTTATACCATTGGCAGCAATAAAAATTAAATTTACAAAGATTTAAATAAAAAACTAGAAAATGGCGTAAAATTTTCATTGACAATAAAAATTCACCTATATCGTTGAAGATCGTACGTGTGAAATTTGAATATTTCATCTTATGGAAAGATATACGATTCCGAAAAAAGGAATTTTTATTTTTGGGTTACATTATAATTTACCGTAGCTACTATCTGTAGGTAGTACTTTTTGTTCTCACATGTCTCACTTTGTTTCTTTGTTCTTTTCAGTATATCCTACAAAGAAGAAATTGCCCGACTACATACGTACATCTACTACTTGCGGCTACGTACAATATACAAGTTTCCTTTTTACGAAAATTTCTCACCCCCATCTCTCTCTATTTCTCTTTCTCTATCTCTTTTTCCTCTCTTTCTTTTGGTTTCTGGCACCCCGTAACCGTGTAGGAAAGGATTAAGAAAGGATTGTGGAGAGGATCATCTTAATGTGAGTTTATAGAATATGCGAGAAAAAAATTATTAGATAGCTCGGACTGGGATTCGAACCCAGAACCTTCCGAAGACATGTCGGCTACTCTACCGACATTATTATTAATTCTTATTCCGATGAATATTGTCAATTTCCAGGTCAAATAACTCCGGAGATGCTGCCAATATTTTTAGCACCTCTTGAAAATCATACGGTAACTCAAGGGCGTGATGTGTTCTTCACATGTGTTGTCAATCATTTGCATTCTTACAAGGTATTTTTTTTTAATTTGTAATCAACTAATCAATAATTAATAATAATTATTTAACAACTTGAAAGATTATAAACATATCCAAGGTTAAACACATTTTTAATAATTCTAGATAAAAAAAAAAACCAATTGGTTTTTCCCTAGTTATTTATAAATTTAAACTACACTATAATACTAAAATTAGCCGACGTTCGAAAATTATTGATTTCTTTTCATCAATTAAATTACAAATCATAAAATACTCAAAAAAAAATTACACATATAATTTTTCAAATTTTCAACTTGTAAATTTTTTTTATTAATAATTTTTTCAATAAAATAAATTATAAAAATTTTTAGATGTTGGCTAATTTAATTTTCATTACTTCACCATCGAAAAATTATAAAAAATCCATTCATGGTAGTTTAATGGTAAAGTACGGAAAATTCACATCTTTACGCCGTATGAAGGAGGTTCGAGCGTAACATGAATCAAAATAACGTTAAAATTTTTTTTTACTTTCAGTCTTCCCAATATTCGTCAAAATTCTTTATTTTAATTTAAAATAATTTGAACAATTTAATAATTGATGATTTTTACTAATTTAATAAAATAAAGTAATAAAATGACTTTCGTATTTATTAATTGCCGGATTAAATAAACAGATTTGGCAACAGCGCGTTTGATTATACCCATTACAGAGACGTGCATGAGTGTATGAGTTAAATATTTCTCTCTCTGTAACTATATTTCTATCCTTTTCTTTTTTCTCAGCTGTTGACGCGATGTTGATTTTAAAAATTATATCGGTAATGTATTATTATTAATTTTTTTTTATATTTTACAATAATCCAAGTTTCTTGTGTATAGTTTTTTATTCGTTAAAGTTGGGAGGTTAATATTGAAAAAAATAATTAAAGTCTCGACTAAAGTTTGTCCGCCATAAAAGCCCGTGTATAAGGTGATAAAAAATGTGATTTTTGAAATTTAATATCTAAGTAACTAAACGGTGAATCTTTTTAAAATTTTGGGATTAGATAAATGAAGTATTTATTTATACGTATACTTAATTTCAAAGCTCAAAGTTGGAAATTATTTTTCACATCAGATTCGCTCGAACCTCCTTAAATCTTAAAATTTGCACGGAAAAAATTTTGAAAAAGACCAAAATTATTTTAGATCAATCTAAAAATTTTTTTTTTCCGAAGGAAAAAAAAATTGTTACTACAAGCGTGTTATTAACTATTGTTACTTTCAGGTTGCGTGGATAAAATCAGACTCGCGAGCAATTCTAGCCATTCATACTCACATGGTAACACACAACCCCAGACTATCAGTAACGCACAATGGCCACGACACTTGGAAACTACACATCGCAAATGTCCAGAAAAATGACTCCGGTACTTACATGTGTCAAGTTAATACTGATCCGATGCGCAGTCAAGTAAGTTTAATTTATTTTTATTAATGAATCCTAAAATTAGAGTATTTAATTAAGTTTTTAATTAGTGTGGTGATATAAATAAAATTAAATAAAATTAAAGATGGGATACATGGTGGTGCAAATACCTCCGGATATAATGGACGACGATTCAACAGACGGGTACGTGACTGGAGAACGAGGAAATATAAAATTGCGGTGTGTGGCTATGGGTATTCCGCAACCGACAGTTACGTGGCGACGAGAAGATGGCAGAAACATAACTCTTAGAGAAGAGGGTCGAGAAAAAGTTTGTAAGTTATTTTTTTTTATCTTTTATTTTATAATATATAAATGGGGTTAGATTTTTAATTTTTGTTTCAATTGATAAGAATGTTAATTCATTCTTAATTTTAATATTTTTTACTGAAAATCTAATCAACGATTCGAATTTAATGGTTCAATTGCTACTTTAATGTTTAAAAATCTATCTGGAACTGTTTTTACGCATGTGCAGTTTATTGGAACCGTTTTTGTGCATGTGTAGTAATTGGAACTATATATGCGCATGTGTGATACTTTGAACTGCTTAAGCATATGCACAGTTATTAGAACCGCTTAAATGCATGCGCAGTACCTGGAACTACTTACACGCATGCGCAGTAATCGGAACCACTTATGCGCATAATTCAAATTAATAAACTATAAAAAAATGTGTTTTTGTACAAAATTTCTGGAATAAGTATTTTATATAATTATTTTATAATCGATAAATGTTTTATAAACGATTATTATCAAAGTTAAAAATAAAAAGTTTGAAATGTTGGTCATAATTAATAAGATTGTTAATTTTTTCTCAATTGTAATATTTTATTACTAAAAAATCAAATTTCAATGGAATTTATTGAATTAATGCGATACCTTGGACTGCTTAAGCTCATGCACAGTTATTAGAACCGCTTCAACACATGCGCAGTAGCTGGAACCAGCTATGCGCATAATTCAAAATAATAAACGAACTATAAAAAACTATGTATTCTTGTTCGGAATTTTTGAAATAACTTTTATTTTATGTAATTATTTTGTAATCAATAAATTTTTTAAAAATGATTTTATCAAGGTTTAACATAAATAGTTCTAAATGTTGGTAATAATTAATAAGATTGTTAATTTTTTCTCAATTATAGTATTTTTTTTAACTTAAATTTCGATTTTCAATTGAATTTATTGAATTAATTTATCAATTTTAAGAGATGAATATTTAAATATTCATCTGGAACTATTTTTGCGCATGCGCAATTCTTGGAACAGTTTTTGCGCATGTGTAGTAATTGGAACTATATATATATATATATGTGCATGTGTGATACTTGGAACTGCTTATGCGCAGTACCTGGAACCACTTAAACGCATGCGCAGTACTTGGAACCACTTACACGCATGCGCAGTACTTGGAACTGTCTATAAAAATAACTAAAAACAATGAATCAACAATACAAATAATGAATTTTTTTTAAAAAATTTCCAAAATAAAAATAAAAAATTGTTAGATTATAATTAATATTTAAAATTTCCAGCCGTAAAAAGCCTAGAAAGTGAAACTTTAAATCTAACTGGAATCATGAGGAACGAAATGGGAAATTATCTATGCATAGCAAGTAACGGCGTTCCACCAACAATAAGCAAGCGTTACAACGTACAAGTACACTGTAAGTATTAAATTCAACAACAATTTAATACAAATAAATGAATAAATAATTAATTGGATATTTTTAATAAACAGTTCAGCCAACAACAAAAGTAACAAATCAATTAGTCGGGGCGCCGATTAATCGAAATGTCACATTGGAATGTACCGTTGAAGCTTCGCCGCGCGCTATGAATACTTGGTACCGTGATAAAGGTAATTATTAATTAATTTCTAATTTTTAATTATTTCATTTACTTTTAATTGAATTTCAGGTGAGAAATTACTGCCGAGTTTCAAATACACAATGTCGGAGTCGGCGTTGAACGAGTACACGTGGCAGATGAATTTGACGATACACAATTTGGAGAAAAAGGACTTTGGAGGGTACGTGTGTGCCGCGGTTAACGCTCTAGGACACTCTGAATCCTCAGTAAGGTTGCAAGGTAATGATAAATATTATAGATATATGATATTATAAATTAATCAGCGTCCCTGGGATACTAGAGAGTAAGTGAGAAGTATGCGATAGTCGATAGCTGTTGAATTGCCGGTAAACTAAAGAGAAAGAGGAGAGTGAGTAAAGGGGATGTGCAACAGTCTAGATGGAAGTGGCTGTTAGTATGAGTGGTGAATGAGTTGTTGGTGTATAGATAATACAGAGGGTAAAGCTACTCAGTATCAGGTAGCAACAGGTGAAGAACATGTTGATATATTCCATCAAAGTGCTTACTTTTTAAGTTTTTCCTTTTTATTTTTACACTTTTAATTATAACCAAAGGAAGAAAAATTAGTAAGCTTTTAGGGGATCAATATTGATATTAATTATAATAAGTCTATGAATTATTTAAGAGGGTGGGGGGTAGAGTTTTAGAGTACTTTGTGAAATTCGTGCTGAGGTTTTTAGTGATAATGGAAAATTAATCTTTATGGTTTGTTTTTTAATTTGTTGCTATTGAAGTTTTGAATTTTTAAGGGGGATAGCCACTGTGAGGATAGAAAAAATAGGTTATAAATAAAATAAAAAAATATTTACGGAGCAGACAATCTTTATTTAATATTAATATCATTATTTTTATATCCAGCTGGTCAACTACTGGTCCATTTGCTCTAATTGTATACATCTTTGATATTATTTTATTAAAAAAATAAAAAATTTTCAGAACTAGAACTGGCGACAGAAACAACCCCAGGCCCAATCTCGCGAAACACAGACGCAAAAGTGCGTAAAAAACCTTACAGCAAGCAAAAACCAAACCGGCGACCCAACAACAGTCACGACGACTGGGACAATAACAATCTAAGCGATAATAACAATAAAAATAATTACAATAACATTAACGAGGAGTATGGCACAACCCAGATGATGGGCGGTAGCACTCAAGTGCATCGCACTGAGAGACCGCTTGCTTCTCCGTCTCCTCCTTGGAAGATTCTCAACAACACTCCAAGATTATCGTCCTGCAAATCCACGACTCTATTATTTCTTTTTATGACTTTCGCAATCCACTAGACCTATTAATTCATTAAAAATATTTATGATACTATAATTGAAGTACACTGATGAAAAAATTAACTTGATTTAAGAAAAAAAATCTTAAACTGAAAAAATTATTTGAATTTATTGAGTCAAACAGAAAAATTCTTAAACTAAAATTTACTTAAGGACGTTCATGAGCTATACTAGAGTCAAATGTTATCGGAACCTTATATTGTTCTTGGAACCTAGTACTGTTCTTGGAACCTACTACAGTTCCTGGAACCTGATATTGTTCTTAGTACCTAATATTAGTTTCAGAACCTTATGTTGTTCTTCGAACCTAATATTGTTCTTGGAACTTAGATTGTTCATGAAACCTGGTACTGTTCTTGGAATCTGATATTGTTCTTAAAACCTACTATTGTTCCTGGAACCTGACATTGTTCTTAGAACCTAATATTAGTTTCAGAACCTTATGTTGTTCTCGGAACTTATATTGTTCTTGGAACCTGGTACTATTCTTGGAACCTAATATGTTTCTTAGAACCTACTATTGTTCCCGGAACCTGATATTGTTCTTGGAACTTTGTATTATTCTTGGAACCTTATGTTGCTCTTGGAACCTACTATTGTTCCCGGAACCTGATATTGTTCTTAGAATCTAATAGTGTTCTTAGAACTTGATAATGTTTTCAGAACTTAATGTTGTTCTTCGAACCTGGTATTGTTCTTGGAACCTGTTATGGTTCCCGGAACCTTATATTGTTCTTGGAATCTAATACTGTTCTTAGAACTTAATATTGTTTTCAGAACCATATGTTGCTTTCAGAAATTATGTTGTTCTTCGAACCTGGTATTGTTCTTGGAACCTTCTATGGTTCCTGGAACTTGATATTGTTCTTAGAACCTAATACTGTTCTTAGAACCTAATATTGTTTTCAGAACTTTATGTTGTTCTTGGAACCTTCTATGGTTCCTGGAACTTGATATTGTTCTTAGAGTCTAATACTGTTCTCAGAACCTAATATTGTTCTAAGAACCTTATGTTGTTCTTGGAACCTGGAATTGTTCTTGGGATCTAACATTGTTCTCGGAACTTATATTGTTCTTGGTGCCTATTATTGTTGTCAAAACCTACCATAGTCCTCAGAACCTAATACTGTTTTTAGAACCTAATATTGTTCTTGGAACCTAACACTGTTCTTAGAACCGTGTGAAAACTACTATAACTTCAAACATGTTGGGCTCTTGAAAAAAATAATACAGTATGTTTAAAAATCAGTAAAAAAAAATAAAATTCTTAAAAATTAGTTTCTTGGTTAAAAACATTTTCTCTTGATTCAAATTAATTATTTTATCAGTCCAAATTTCGGTATAGACAAATATTATTATTTATATTGCAATTGAAATTAAAATAAATATTTGTTGTGTAAATATAAATATATAATATATAATATATATTGATATAAAATAATAATTGATAGCAATGATAATGAAATCATAAATTCGATGTTAATTATCGGTGCAGAAATTTGTAATTGGTGTAATGTGCAACGATAATTAAGGAGATGCATAGTGCAATACTGATAATATTAATATTATATATATTGTGTATAAGTATGCGGGTAATATTATATTAATGTATCGAGTATTATTTACTCGTTTCAGAGAACAGATAATGTAGTTTTTAATTAATCAATATGTTATTTATTATTCGGTAGTTTAATTAGTTACTTTTTTTTTTATTGATTTTTAATTATATGTAAATAATCTTCAACAAGGTTGGTTTTAATTAACAGAAGGTGAGAATGGGAAAAAATTAGCTGGTAAATTGACCGGATTATTTTTAATAAAAAGATTTTATGGGTCAATAATAATTGCTGTTTAATAATGAGTTTTAATATTTTTTAGAGCTACAGAAAATAAAATAGTTTTATTATCATCGGAATTTTTTAATTGAGCGGAAAAATTTTAAGAGTGTTAATTAATAAGTATTTTTTATTATAAACATTTTTTTTTTGTTAATAATTAAATTATCTTTTTTATGTAAGTTAAACATATGAGTAAAAAAAAGAGCCAATGAATTGCTATAAAAAATCGCTGAAATTTGATTAAGTTATTGGGTAGTAATTTTTACCGACAAGATGGCCGTCGTACAAAAGTAGCATTTTCCTGATTTGAAAAAAGTATTTGTAATAACAATGTTTTTATTTCTTTTAATATTTCTAAATACTTTTGAATTATTTTTTTCTTAGCTCAAAGTTGGAAATTATTTTTCACATTAATACTAGTAAAAATTAATAGTACTTTTCAATATTTCCTTACATTATATTCATGATGAAATCTAGTGTTAAAAATTTCCGACAGGTGGCGCATGGTCGCTAAATCTTCTCCTTACTAGAGAGTTTATTTTAAAATTACAAGTTTTAAAGCAAATTTTTTTTTTATACATTACAATTGACTGTTCAATATTTTTCTCTATTATATATGTGAATAATTATTAAAAAAAAATATGTGAAAATTTTTTTTCACATTAGATTTGCTTGAACCTCTTTAATAATTTTTTAACTAAAAAATTATATTAACTTTATTTTTAATTTCTCAATCTAAAATTCTGAAATTTAAATTTTTATACACTTAATTTCCCATTTAACCTTCTGATGAATAAAAATATTTTAATAATCTGCTAATTAAATTATAATAAGCCAATAATTGATGTACGCAGATTTATTTAATCGTCGCATCAAGTGGATTTTATTTATAACATATATGTATGTACATTGCTAAACGGTCTTCCGAATTTAATCATTATCAATGGAGATTAACTATAGCAGCTGCAATCAATTGAATTTATATATTATACAATAGCTTATTATAATTTTTATTATTATTATTATTATTAAAATTATATTTAGATTGTTCAAAGCTATTTCATGTTCGACCGGTTTATGCTGTAAATAATATAACGCAATATTAAATTGTTAAAAAAATTAATAAATTAATTAATAAAGCTAGAATTAAAAAATTTGACTTTAAAAATAAAATTATTTATAAAAAAATAAATAATAAAAAAAAGTGACGACAATAAATATGTGTAATTGCATAATAAAAATTTATCAAACTGTAAATTAAAATAAAATAATTGGTCAATTTATTAATTGATTAATTATCGCTATTATTATTTATGTGAATATGTATATGTTTATATTTATAAATAAAAAAATTTTTTTTATAAATAAATAAATAAATATTAATATATGGCAACGAGACATATTAAATAGGACCACTATAATAATGTAAATAAATAAATAATGTAAATAATTGAAAAAAAAATTCATTTTTGCTTCTTTTATGATAAAAAAAAAAATAAATATATGCAACGAATCGCTTCTAATTAAAAAGAATTTAATAATACATATCTTTATTTATTAATGTAAATTTTTTTGAAAAAAAATTGCAGCAATAATTTTTATTATTGTAAAGTAATTTATTTAAAAAAAAAAAAAAAAATTAGTGAAAAAACGTTTATAACTTACATTAATAACATAAATATATATATAGTTAATTATCTTTTTTATATTATATAAATGATAAAATTAAATATTAATGAATATGTAAATTACTGCCTTCGTCGAATATTTACTAAATAATAATTGATAATTAATAACGAATATTATTATTATTATTATTATATAAAAAGAAATAACAGAGATACGTATAAATATTAACGATTTTAAAATTGTGAATCGATATCATCAAAGGTAATAATTTAAATGAATCGACTGTAAATGATTTTAAAAGAATTATTGTACAACATATATAGTAATTAATTATTAATCATGACAATAAAATGTTATTATCAATGTTAATAAAAAAAAATTTTATTGCAATTATTTGGGTATTTTGGGGGAATATTTTTAATTTTCCTTGAGATTGATATTTAAATTTTTTTTTTTTGGAAATTTATTTAGTTTAATAAAATCAAGCAAAATTATCTATATTATTAAATCGTTTTTTTTTTTTTTAGTGAAATTTAATGTCATTGCGAAGGTCTTAAATTTGTGCCTTTTCAAGGTTTCATTTCATTCTCATCAATAATCAATTTATTATGAAAAGTATTTCGGCTGCATTCGAAAATGCTCTATTTCTAGATATATTATTGAGAAATGACCTTGTATCGTGTGAAATACTGACATTTTTACAGATATAAACTCATCTCGATGTTACGCTCATCAAGACCTTTCATTTGAGTACCCACATCAATTTTTCATATATTTTATATATTATATATATGTATATTAGGGTGGCGCAAAAAAAACCGACTATTTTTTTTTTTGAGTCTCGAGTGAAAAAATGTTAGTTTTTGATGTTTTAAGAGCCCTCACCAAAGGACGGCTCAAAAAAAAAATTTTTAAGAGGTCACTCCAAATTTTTCAAAATTTCAAAAATCGTCAAAAATCGAATTTTTTTTTTTTTAATTTTTTCTTCGTTACGGTATAATTTTATAGACCAAAA